TTTTTTTTTTTTTAGAAAAATCATTTTTAGGTAAGAGGTAATCCACTGTTACTTTGCTTTATCAAGCATTTGTTGATAAATGCTGTGAGATGAACATCTCGATGGGGCAAAAGTATATGCATTTGTACATTTTTTTCATTATGAATTTTATTTAAAGCATTTTATAGATTGCCTGCTGAAAAATTTTTTGTCTAATGTGAAAATGTGCTTCATGCTAAGTGAATTATGTAACCAACAATTTAATTTATATTTTAATCCCAGTCTTCAAAGCATCTTTCATCACCTTCACACTGTATTAACTTGCTTACTGCAGAGAAATAAATGCCAAGATAATTTTAACAGAATTACTTAAATATTTTTATTGGAAATACACTCTCTAATCAAACCTCATGGAAAACGGTATCTGAATTTAACACAGTGTTATTTACTCCTAGGGCCTGGAGCTCTGTCGAAGGCTGTACAAACTACATTTTCAGTTGCTGCTTCTGTTCCAAGCCTACTGTAAATTGATCAACCAAGTAAACACAATAAAAAATGAAGCAGAGGTAAATATTCGATTGTAGTAGGAATAACTGATTCTAGAATATGAAAACATGATACATATATTCTTTGTAAAAGAGCTTATGTCAAGAGTCACTTACAGTGAAACTTTTTTCCACAATTGTCTTTTTAAAAGCAAATGATGTGCTGTTTCAGAACCTATCAGTAAATAAGACAGCAGGTAGCCAGTGGCCTTGAAAGGTTCAAGACCTTAAGGTCACAGCAGCCACAACAGATCATCTATAACCAAAAGTCAAAAAAAGCACTTTAACTCAATGAAGTCATAAGTTAAATTATGAAACCCCTCCCCGCCCCAAACATCTTGTACATATATTTTTGTAGTTCTGGTGGTGCACATAAGAATCAACATGTCAAAAACACTTTGAATGTTGGGAGTCACGTAATGAATAGGCTCAAAGGTGGTGACTTTAGTCTTTTTCCCCCCTTGCCCACCCTGGTACTGAAACAGAAATGCTTTAACTTTTGTTAAATGGTTAAATAAATTAAAAAATACATACTGCTTTATATAAAATACACTGGTTTATATAAAATATATATATATAATATAAAATATTTCAAAGGTAAATAACCTTTTAAAATATGAAGACTTTGCTGTCAAGAAAATTCACGACCCCACCCCCCCCCACCCCTGGCAGTGAATTTTTACTATCCAAGATATAAATCACATGTTAAAACCAATACAAACACTGGAAGAAAACAAAAAACAACATTGGTTACAGCCTGTTTTATTACAACTATCATAAACATTATAACCTGTTTGTTTCTTTAAGTCATGTCTGTGCCCAGAGTGGGGCTCAAACTCAGGACCCTGAGATCAAGAGTCACATGCTCCACTGGCTAAGCCAGCCACGCGCCCCTATAACCTGTTATTTATCAAGAATATTTAAAGACTACAATTTGGTGACTGAAAATATAACAGAGAACTTGAAAAATTAAGTTTACCATTTGCAGATCTTTAAGAGAAGCTGCTACCATCAGATGTATCTTCAGAGCCAATTAAATGCTCTTCTTGTTACTGAATATACAAATAGATCGTTTTAAGGCATATTCATTTGTTCTAGGTCATCAACATGTCCGAGGAACTTGCCCAACTGGAAAATATCCTCAAAGAAGCAGAGTCTGCTTCAGAAAATGAAGAAATTGACATTTCCAAAGCTGCACAAACTACCATAGAAACTGCCATTCATTCTTTAATTGAAACTCTGAGAAATAAGGAGTTTATTTCAGCTGTGGCACAAGTCAAAGCCTTCAGGTAAAGCGTGAAGGGATTTCAAGGTGTGGTGCCTCTAAACCCGCACTGGCGTCTTACAGCAATTGGGGGGGGTTTTCAATTTGCTGCATCCGTAGCGCGTCTTTGTGAAAGCATGACAGCTTTGTCCACAGTTCTCACTGAAATGACGCCACTTTTAGACTTTGTTCACTCTCTAGAGGTTTTCGGTAACACGTTTGCCCAAACCTGCAAACAGATCCTCAGTGATTCACAAGGAGATTCTGTTCTAGGTATTAATTTAAAACGTGGTTAATATTAACCATTGCTTGACGGAGTCTCAGGACTTAAAAATATTGTGTATTTCAGATCTCTCTGGCCAAACGATATCTTTGGCAGTTGTGAGGATGACCCTGTGCAGACGCTGTTGCACATCTACTTCCATCACCAGACGCTGGGCCAGACGGGGAGCTTCGCGGTCATAGGCTCTGACCTGGACATGTCAGAGGCCAACCACAAACTGATGGAGCTCAATCTAGAAATAAGGGAGTCCCTACGCATGGTGCAGTCATACCAGCTCTTAGCACAGGCCAACCCAGTCGGAACTTTGGTGAGCACCGGATTCTGAGAAGCTTCCAGGCGTTTAGGGAAGACACTAAACTGAAGATGATGCAGAATATTCATGAGCACCTTTTACGAACCCTCGCAGTTCACGGACAACCCTTCCTGGCGGCATCCACGACCACGGCGTAGCTGATGTCAAACCGGTATCAGAGTCAAAGATCTAAGGAAGAAAAAAAAAAAAAAAATCTAATGGCTGCCAATACCTCCTACAATAACCGTATGAAGAAGGAGTTTTTAATTACTTAACCTAGGTGAAAAGAAAAGGGCTAAGAGTGATGCGTACAAATACATGACTTTCTGGAGAAAGAAGAGAATTCTAGGACTGTTTGCAATAATGGCCTCTAATACTGAGACGTTGGAAAGCAGGTGACGTGAGGCTAAAACCCAGGCTCGTTCATTTTAGCTGACAACCTGCAGGGCTGTGTGGATGCTCCACAGTCGATGCTTCATTATCTACGTGAAGAACCTTCAGTCGGATAGACAGACACGGAGAGACTTCTTTGCAAAAACCATTGACTTTTTTTCAACACGTGGGATGAGGGTGTGGGTGTTTTGTTTTTTAGTCTGTACAAGGGATTGTGTGTGCGTGAGCTGGGATGTGTGAATATGTGACAGTCCTATTTTCAAGGTATGGATGTTTGGTGATAACGTGTCAGCATGCCTAAAAGAGCACTGCAAGATTATTTTTGAAGAAATTTTATTTTATTAGATCTAACTCTTCATAGTGTGTAAATGTTAGAACATTTTAATAATATTTTAAAACTGGGCTTTCCCGGTATTTCAAAAAGAAATAATATATCTGTTAATGTTATTGGAATGCTGCTCAGCTCTCTGACCAGTGCTTACATTACGATTGTTGATAACTAACCAAAGTAGATGCCTGCAGAGACTTTAAAATGTAAAATAAAGATGTATGCTGCCCGTCAGCTATTCTCATTAGGAAAGTTAACTTATTTTACTCCATAATTATTCTAGAAACTGTATAGATTAAAACCAGTATTGTACGTTTGTGCAATGCACTGTTATACAAGAATAGGTGTACAAAGCTAAAGAAAAGAGCGTGGTCACTGATGGTAGAATATAAGACTTGCAGGCTCTGAAGTCTGCAGAATTCAAGAAGAGAGATGCAAACCCAGTTTTATATGTTCATTCAGGACTCACGTGTCTCACCCAAAAGGAACTTGGGGCTATGGGGGAAAATGAAGCCTGAAGACTGACTACCAAAACATGCAATATACTTACTCACTGTCTAAGTCTGTAGCATAACACGAACTGGATTCTCTGTCCTTTTTTAAATAGCATTTTGTAAAAGAAATGAATGTAGTCCCACAACTCCTCTGATTTGAAAGGAACACCTTGTATTTTTTATAGGCATCTCTTATCCACTGTGACTTTCTTTTAAACTGGGCTCTGTGACCGCAGAGTTTAGAATGTAGAAATGAAATGCTTAGCTTTGCCTTTTCTTGGGGGTGTGGACCCTGCCAGAAATGTAATTATGCTCAAGTGCATTAATTGAAGGCACTGTGCACGCCGTTGGACTGCTGACTATAGTTATGTTACCTGTAAAATTCCATAACTGGTCACGGCACATTCATAATCACTGTATTTTTTGACCCTGATAAAAAAAAAAAAAATTATTTTGATGGTGTTCTGGTACTGTAAATGGTGTCCTTTAAATTATTTAATAACTTTTGGGTGTGGGGCAGGAAGAGAGGGATGGTGTCCAGGGACCCCCCCCCCCCACACTTTACATCCTATCTTACCATCCCCCTCTTATATCCTTTTTGTTAAAATAAAAAGCATTGTAGCTGTTGGTTTGTGTTGTATTTTAAAGGTCAATGATTACAGTGTGCATCATTTAGGGACTTTGCAAATATGATCCTTGTTCTTAAGATAACTTTCCCTAAAAGGGGGAGAACGAAGTTGAGAGCAAATGAGGTTGACTATTACCCAAACCAAACCCTGAACAGTTGGAATTTCCTTTTCATGTGTATGTAGCTAAATCTATTAATAAAGTAATATGATGAATATACCTACAGAAAGCAAGATGCAAATATAAAGTCATCAGGATGGTCCCTTTGCATTTAACAAAAATGTATTAAGTGCTTAATTTATTAATTACCTTATGCAGTTCTGATCAAGCCCTTTGTGCTTGTACAACCTTTTTCTTTTGCCCCTTAAGTTGATCATTTTTTAAGTAGTAAGCTTGTAAAACAACACCAAGAGAAGGGATCTGGCAGTTTCTTCATTCGGCTTCTAAAATAGAAAGCAAACGCCTTTTTTTTTTTTTTTTTTAAAACACAATTTAGAAAATATTTTCTACTTTTAGTGATCTAGAGGGTACTGTACAACCCACAGTCTACCATAAATTTAGGAAATAAACATTCATTCTCTTGGAACAGACTCACCAAAGCCACAGTGAGCCTTCCTCGTTTGGATCCAGGAGAAGTGCTCGTACACCGTGCCGTTAGAACCCACGTGAAAAGAAACAGGATATTAGAATCAACATAATTATCATTGTACTTCATGGCATTTATACAGATTTTTTTTTCAAAAGAACCCACTGTCCCCTTAGCAAATGTATGAAATACGGGGAAAATTGGAATCACTGACACCCAGAGAAAACAGTATTCTGGGCTATTTCCTTCTAGGCTCTCAATCTCTTACTAAAAAAAAAAAAAAAAAAAAAAAAAAAAAAGTGTGTGTGTGTATATATATATATATACACACACATTTTATAAATTTCCTTCATACACAGTTTGATAGCACTTTCTAGTTGCTAGAACATCATCACCACAACTTTTATAACAAAGATGTCTTTGTGCAGCACTGTTCAATGCCAGCTAAATCTAAGTAAAACCTACTTTGATCCTTGCTGTCCTCTCGACTGTAAAATACGTTAGTTGCTCTGTTTGGAAAAATAGTGATAAGCTACTTGACGTAACTCCCCATATTGATAGCCTTAGGACTCACTGCAGGTGTTATTTCTATTGTCCCCTCACTCATTCCACAAGTGTTTACTGAGTGCACTTGCACAAATAAGTTTCCCTGTCCCTACCCTCAACCAAACCAGTAGGAACGGGTTAGAACATCGCCCTCCCCCACACCTAGAGCTGTCATTCATCCACTGTACAGCTAGAGTGATTATTTCTTTTTAACACACCCAGCTAAAGCTTAATGGCTTTGGGGCTCTGGGTGTCAAAGGCCGTTATGTCCTGACTTGGCTCAGGTCACGATCTCACGGTGAGTTCGAGCCCCGCATCAGGCTCTGGGCTGATGGCTCAGAGCCTGGAGCCTGCTTCCTATTCTGTGTCTCTCTCTCTGCCCCTCCCCCGTTCATGCTCTGTCTCTGTCTCAAAAATAAATAAATGTTAAAAAAATTAAAAAAAAAAAAAAAAGCTTTAATGGCTTTAAAACCTTCTAGTGAATTCTGAGGACAAAGACCAGTCCTCCTGAGCAAGGCCTAAAAAATCCCCCCAGTCTGGGCATACTGTCACTTGCCATCATGCTCATCCTTGTCCTCCACAGCATTCTACCACTTTGGCTTCCTTCTGGTTTTCACTGCCACTGGGCCTTTGCATATGCTACCTTGGTCTGGAAAGTTTCTCCTTCCCCTCTTCAACTAATTCAACTCACCCAAACTTCAGGTCAGCCCAAGAGTCATTTTTCAGGCAAGTGTTCCCCTGACCTCCCTAAATATGATCCTCTATCACAGGCCTCTATCAATTGACCAAGTAGCTCTTTCCTATTAGGTGGCAGGAACTCCATGTTTTTTTTTTTTCAATGCAGAAAATAATGGCCATCTACTCACTACACTGGAAGCTCCATAAGGGCAGAGGCCACATCCGTGTTTTTGCAAAGTACAAGCCTGACCCAGGTGGTAGTTCCATACTTCAATTCCATAAGCAATCCCCAGGGTGCTTGTTAAAATGCCTCAGTCCCAGATAGTGATTCAGTAGGGATAGGGGCCTTGGACTCTGTTTTCACAAGCACCTTCCTAAGTCCATATGAAGTCTGAGGGGACTTCCCATTGCTCTAAGGGTTCAAGAGACCTCAAACTCCGTTTAGGTTCCTTATTCCTCACATTTGTCTACACCCAACCATCCAAGATCTTAACAGACATAGCTAAGGTCATAAGGGTTAACTTAAATGGGATAAGAAAATTGGAAGGAAGGGGCATCTGGGTGGCACAGTTGGTTAAACATGTGCTTTCGGCTCAGGTCATGAGCTTACAGTTTGTGAGTTCAAGCCCCACATCGGGCTTGCTGCTGTCAGCACAGAGCCCGCTTCAGATCCTCTGTCTCTCTCTCTCAACTTCAAGGAAAAAAAAAAAAATCGGAAAGAGGCATAATTAGTAACTGGTTCCAGTTATGTGGTTTCCATAACTATTAAACCAACAACCCTCAGCTGATTTCATTACAAGTCCCTGAGGGCTCTAGACAAACTGCCATCCCCAAGCAGGAGAGCTCTGGGAGCAGGGCCTTAGTATTTTCTTGGGAGTCCTGTAGAAAGCCGGCAGGTGCAGCTAGGATACGATTTCCTATGTTAGTTTGCAGTTATACAAACTACAGGACAAGGACCTAGCCTAAGTAGTCGGTTAACTTGAAATCTTCAAGTACATTTAATAGGCTTATTTTTAAGTTACCACCTGAAGTCTTAAAGAAGCTGCCCATGGCCACCCCGTTCTGGTCCCCACCTGTACCCTATGTGAAATTGTGATCAACCAGTCCATGTGGTTCACAGCCTCCCTCCCCACTAGATGCCACCCACAGCTAGCCAGCCGCTCGGGGGGCAACCCAGAGTCAGAACCCTAACTCTCCTCATACATTAAGGCCTCACTCTAACTCCACCTCACCCGAAAAACGACTTTAATGGTGACATGGCTGTTCATTCAATCAGCATCTTGCTTGTAAGCTTCAGCCCTACAGACACACATAAGCAGGAAACCTGACAGCTGTGAGGCCCTCTAACAAAGTGACAGACCCAGACTGTTAGCATGAGCAGCTTTCAACTTAAAAAAAAAAGATCTTCTGCAATTTATCAATTGTTTTGCAATACTTTTATTTGAAGGCTCTGTCAAAAATACA